CGCACACACACACACACACACACACACACACACACACACACACACACACACACACACACACACACACACACACACACACACACACACACACACACACCAAACACATAATTTACTAGTATTTTAAAAATGTAATTTCTGATTCACTGGAAAATTAAATGCTATATGAAAAATAGCATATAAGATTTCATACATGTTAATGTTAATAGCACTTACTGGTATAGGTTTACTTCCGAGAAAGTTCAAATCAGTACTTTCTCCAAACAGATATGCTTCTGGTTGCATTACATCAAAGCGTTCCCCTCCCATGATGAAATGACTACCAAAGTAGTTACCTGAAAAGGGATCGATTTGATTTTCATTCATTTAAAAACAATTTGTTGATGGCCCAAATCTTTCCAAATGTGTATACTAGTAAGACTGACAAACAATCTAAAAAGCAAGTTTGCTGTAAACATAACTTCTTCTCTGGTCTTTCTTCCGTAAAGCTGTGTCTTTATATCATAACTGATTGCCTTTATTTTCAACTAATAAAATAACTGATGTGTACATTTTTGTTTAAATTCCCATATGCATGTATAAAGTTTCTGGGTGTGTTTGCACATGTGTGTAAAAAAACTTTTTTAAGGAGACAGATTAAATAAAATAATCTTAGGCCAAATATGAAACTGAAAAGTGGTTAATTTTCCTTCTCAGGTGTTACCCTGGCAGTAGAGGTCTTTGAGACAAGTTCAATTGAATATATTAGACACTACATAAAAAATCTGAATTTTATTAAATATGTAAATAAATGACATAAATTATTAATAAATATCACTCCTTTAAAATCGCATTCAAAGCCGAAAAGCCCTCGTAAAATTAGACATTATTAATGTACCTAAATGCAGTTATATTGTCAAGTACTCGAAGTCTTTACTTTAGTATCAAGATATCACTTACCAACTTTGGGTGGGTATTTGTAGGCATTATTAGTCGGCATGTCCACCTCTTCCACCCTGGCCTCTCTTCGACTATTTAAAGCCCCCATTTTGAATAATCAAACGCACCAGCCAAAACAACGGGGGGTTATGTGAAGGGGTACTCCGTGTCCAGGAAAATTATGGAAGAAGAACTGTGTACGTACACATAAAGTGATGACGTCATGGTAAGGTTCTATTTGTCAATTGGATTTTAGGCATAATTAGTCAAACATGGAGGTTGAAATGTACTTTACGATTGCTAACTAGAACATGATTTTCATTCTATACCACTGCCATTCCTGTACACATTATTCTCTTTTGTTGTCTTTCTTGTTTAAACAAAATGCATTTTGTATAATTATATTCTGCAAAGGGTCGACGTTTACTAAACGGAACAGCTTATGTTTACAAATTCGCTTCATAGAGAGGCCACCCCCATTTCGTGACATGTGAACCAATCAAAAGCGTCGTGAATGAGCTCAGTTGTCAATCACTCTCAGTGTTTTTCGGAACCAAAACAAGCACGCTTCCCGTCGAGCCACTTTTGGCCTTAAATCGCCAATATGGACAATTTAAGGGAGCAAGTTATGATCAACCAGTTTGTTCTTGCAGCCGGATGTCACGCTGAACAGGCAAAACAGTTGTTACAGGCAGCAAACTGGCAGTTTCAGGTAGGAAAAATAAGATCAAAACATGGCGTGATTGTTATTGAATGAAAACGTGACCTAGTTTCCGCCATGTTTATGTTGTGAAATCCTTTTAAAAAACCCTCTAAATCAAGATTCACAGAATAATTTTCTCTTTCAGACTGCTCTCAGTATGTTTTTTCAAGAGGCAGCCATCCCAAGTTGTCGAACTCACACGAACGGGCACTACCCGGTAAGTGTTTTCCTCGTATTTGCCTCGCGAGTGAAATCCTCCATGTTGATGACATCATCAACTTGCAATGTTTTAGTTTAACTAGAGAGTAAAGATGATAGATTAACTTTAGCGCAGGATTGCCAACTATTCTGATTGTGATTTGCTTTTAGAACAAATCATAATTTTTAAGCCCCCCTGTTGATATATTATAATACTTTAAGTTAATACCTTTTAGAAATATTCATACTTTCAGTTTCCGTTATTTAGAACTAGTTAACCTGCTTCCGAGGACGTACGAAGGTGGGGAAACCCAGATAGATTGGTGTGGTCGTATTATGATGACTAATGGGATTTCATTTATGTATGATTTTATTTCATTAATGAATGGGACAATTTATAAATAATAAACTCCAAACAACTCCTTTTTTGGGGGGCTTTTAATAGTGTATCCTGTAAAATACAGTTTGTACCAGTATATTATGCAAGATATTTGGAGGCAAGCCAAATCATTAGGACATATATTTCCCCGATAGAGATCTGAAAAAATATTTCAGTGCGAATTGTTCAAGTACAAAGAGATAGTGAATGTCACTACAGCTTACTTAGCCCATTTTTCAATTGGGAGTGTGAATGTGTGTGTGTTGGTGTGTTATAACTTGTTAGGAGGGTGGGTGGGGGTGCAGGTTGATAGAGTACAAATATTGTTATTGTTTTATACTAATTCTGGCCAACTAATGGAAAAAGTCAACTAATGGAAAAGGCTTAGTGCCAGTAGGGTGGTGCAACTAGATATCTTGCCCATTGTTTACATTGGCAGGTGTTTTAATGATGGCTTTCATTATCTAGCTGTTGTGGATGATTGTCAAATATATTTGTTTCTCACCAGGCTTTAGCAGTTATGAAGTGGATGACTCTCATTAGGGATTTTTTTTTTTATTTCTGGGATGCCTCAGAAGTAGATTACCAGCTTTTGGACAAGAGTGGAACATTTCCCAAGGTTACATGCATATATGATACATTGCTTGATCAAGCGTTTTATTTTCATGAGCCTTTGAACCACCCAATTTTGTCAACGTAGAGAACTTGCTTTAAGATGTTGGTGTATGTGTGTGAAAAGTATGCTGCCATGAGCAGAAGAGCAGAATTGTTTTAGGCTTCATTCACATGCAATGTCTATTTTCTAAATTCTATTTTCTATTAGCGGTATGTCTTATGATCACGGTCTGTGCCCTTAACATCCCGCGGCGTATTACTGGCAGCGCGAGCCAGTTACTATAAGTTACTATAAGTAACTAACTCGCGCTGCCAGTAATTACGCGACGGGATATTCAGGGCACAGACCGTGATCATAAGATAGCGCAAATAGAAAATAGAATTTAGAAAATAGACATTGCATGTGAACGAAGCCTTAAACTGTATCAATGTGCTTGTTTGGCAAATGATTAAGGAATTAAATGCCCAAAGCACTTGCAATAATTTAAAATTTAGCCCAGACAAGTCACCCATGTTGTTTAGAGCTCTACTTCAAGTCAAATATATCTGTCAGTCAAGGCTTATATTTGTGAGTAGACCTTTTTTACAAGATCAAATTATTTATTAAGACTGTTGACTCTAGAGTAGTGGTCCAGATGGCTGTGAATCAATTGCCATGTGCACTTAGCATCTGGTGGTGAGAATATCACATAAAAATGGGTTAATTAAGTTGATTTACTTTTTAGGCATCTGTCATATTACATTGGATAACTTTTGGTTAAAGAACTGAAAAAATATTATCAACTGCATGTTTGTTAGATGTTCTACATGTGCACATTTGTAATGACACTAACCCACTGAATGTTAAGATGGAAAACATATTTCATTTTGTTTTTCTTGTATCTGCCACACAATATTTCCTTAACTTTTTTGAACCAATTTTATGGTAATAACTTAATCTTTTCAATGACGGAAATTGTGAATTTTACAGATACTGTTTTTAAAATTGAAACATTCCTATTGAGAGGTTGCAGCAAAATTGAAGAGCAGGCTTCTCTAGATTTCTTTTTTATGCAGTAAAAGCATCAACAAATATATGTAGGAATACAATTTGTGTGATTGTAAAATTATGTATCTTAAAGTTGATAATTTTTGCCCATTTGAAAAATCGAGCAATTACTACACATGCATAATTTTAGAATAAAGGAAGGGGATTTTTGACTTTACCATCTCTCTCCCCCCCCCCCCAGACCCAGCCAATTCCTGGGTTGTCAGTACTTTTATAAAAAGGAATACTTAAAATAATATCACTACTAGTACGATGTTGTTATTACAATTTTTTATAGGATTTGACCAAGTATTGGGTTACAAGTATTTGAAATTAGAAATTGATAAAGGTATAATAAGTGAACATTTACTCAAAATAACAGAGTACATATAGGCCAGGAATTTTTTTTTCCCCAGGTAATTGCATAATGTGCCTTTCGTGTTTGGGTGAGTCTGTTGTAGTCAGTTCAACAAAAGAGCACTTTATTTAAATTGCAACACTTTTTGTAGTCAAATAGTGTGGTAGTAGAAATGAATATTGTGTAATTCTGTTAGTCTTCTTTTTGCTAGAAACATTTATTTGTGTACTCCAGATTAAAAAAAATTAAAAGTTATTTGCTACAACAAACATGACAAAAGAGTGATTCCAGAGATGTACTCATGCTTATCATGTGACAAGAGAACACCCACAACAAAAATGCCCCTCAGTAAGTGTCTGTCTCTTTAGTCTGATAAAATCTGTGAAATTTATTATTTGGGTTGCTTAGAGTGGTGATTATCCTATGTTTTGGACAATAGGAGTTGATCATCAGATGTCTGAAGTACTTACCTTGGCTGTGTAGAAATTAGTGAAGGACACCAATCAGATGCCAAGGCTGAGATGTACTTTCTCTTTCTCTCTCTCTCTCTCTCTCTCTCTCTCTCTCAAGTCTGCTAGTTGTGTAAGTAGCATGCATAAAAAGTAGGATTACTGTACTGCGCTCTGTGGCAACATCCTGTTCAAGTTTATGAGGAATAATTCTGTTACTAACTTACTTAAATTAAAATTGTATCATTATTTTCTCCATTTTCTTTCTATTATTTTCTCCATTTTTTCCCACCTTCTCACTGATGGCAATCAGCTAGTAAAGAGATTTTTTCTGCATTTATAGCATATAACATTTGGTCAAAGTCATAATAATGTTTTTGTATTGAAATTAATAATTATGTAAGTGTATTGTAACTATCATTATTACTGAGAGAAGCATTGTTTACATACACTGCTAGCAGCAACAGCCATGTCAGCTGGTACCTAATAAGGATGCCCATTAAAAAACTGAAGTAATGCTGGAGTACATTCAACACAAAGGGAAATGGATATAAAGTTAAATGATTGAGAGTTACACATGTTGTTTCTGGTTCACTGGGAGAATATGTTACAAGTTCCCAGAAGTCTAGAATGTTCTATTAGGGGTAACATGAAGGTTATGACCTATAAAAGTTGGGTAAAAGCACTGGCCTGACTTTACAGTACTGTTGAATGCATTTTGCAGTGACAGTCATAGAAATACTTGGTTTTAATGGGTTGTATTATTTGATATTGCTAGAATGTGTTAGTCTTCACTACATGGTTGTAGTTTCCCAAGTGAAGAGCTTACATACCTCTGTTCCAGTATGTTACAGTAGCATTTTAGTTAAAAATCATTATTTCTGTCCTTCAGTATGTATTCCTAGAGGAAACTGATTCTCATTAGCCTTGTCAATGGTTCTTTACCTCTGTAACAATAATAGTAACCTATTGAGGTATAATTGTTTTTTTTTTGTGGGGCAACTGTTTGTAAAAATGCTCTTTAGCCAAACGGAGTCCACTGTACAAGTGTAGCAGTTTACACTATGCCTAGAATTAAAGGAAGGTCCTTTCAAAACTGGCACCAGTTTTGAATGTTTTTAATAGTAGGTGATATTCAGGTCTTTTGCTATGCTTAATTACATGTTTTTGCTTTATTTATTTTTATATCTATATATATTTTTATAAAACAGTGCAGAACTATTTTCCTGATTGAATGTAATCAACATATACATCTGTTAAAGTACAATTGTATTTTAGGGCAGTAGAATGGAATCTTTTCATAACTGTTTTTGATGAGGTAAGTTAAAATTACATTTGTCTCATCCTTTTGTTTGCAGATTCATAGTATGTGCCTTTTTGTGCATCTGTTGTGACTTGGACAACCAGTCCAGCAGGTTTTTGATATTTCACTCTCCTTATTGTC